TCTTCTCTTATCAGGTGACAGGGAAGTTCAGGGGAGGTGTCAACCCTTTCACCAATGGCTGCTGGAGGAATGTGTCTCATGTCCTCTGCAGCTCCCAGGCTCCCAGGTCAGTAGTTTCTGCACGTGGCCGGTTCTGGCTGCGTGCGTCAGTGTTGGAAGTGGGAACCAGTTGGCAGCAGTGGCCTACGTCTGTATTGGTATTGATGGGGTGTTGTTTCTGCAGGTATCTTGGCAGAAAGAAGTGTGTGCAGAGTGTGAGTGTGCAGCCTCCATTTCTACGACCACAGCCCACAGAGGCTCAGCTGGCTGCTAAGATCCTAGATAACGGAATCCACGGAGACCTGCACCGGGTAGGAGTCCCACTACTGAGCCTGAAAAGCATCGCCTCTAAAGGGTTAACAGCACCGTGTTCACACTGTGTGTGTTCACATCCTTTTTCTGGTGCTTATGCATACACAGAGTAGTAAAAGATGTTTATCTACCTCTGCTGACAGTTTCAGCTAGGGATCGGCTCCGATCACGCGATTTTTCAGAAGGTTGGGAAAAAATATCCGATTTCTAACCCACGCATGCCTGGGGAGAACGTGCAACTCCACGCAGAAAGGCCGTGGCCGGGTTTCTAACCTGCAGCCTTATTGATGCGAGGCAACAGCCCTAACAACTGCACCACCTTTTAAAACAACAATCATGACTTTTTAAATTCATGATCCTACGATGGAGATTTTGAAATAGAATAGCAAAGGCAAGTTCCTCTACATCAATAACAACAAAGTAACGTCACACACTTTACGGCAGGCAGGGATTCAGACACCGAGGTGCAGCTGTTAGCAAGCAGGCTAATGCAGAGCTAACGTGTCTGCAGCTTGAAGAAGAAGAAGAAAATATCATGTCTATAGCGCCTCTCAAGATAAAAATCACGAGGCGCTTCACAGAAACAAAAAATGTAAAAATATTAAAAAGCATTTAGAAAATGTTTAAAAATATGTTTAAAATGAGCAAAAATAGGCAATTGGGATTTAAAAGAAAAAATGTTAAGAAAGAGAGAGAGTGAACAGGAAAGAGGGAAATCAGTGGATCCTGAGGAAGGTGGAATAGGTGGGGAGAGCAGAATAAAGAGAGAGAGGTGAAGAAGGACATACAAAAGCCAGCCTGAACAAGTGAGTCTTCAGCTGCTTTTTAAAGGAGACCACTGAGTCCACTGATCTCAGGCTCAGGGGGAGAGAGGTCCAGAGTCTGGGGGCCACAGCAGCAGATGATCTGTCACCTTTGACCTTTAGCCTGGTGCTGCACAACCAGTAGGCTTTGATCACTGGACCTCAGGGACCTGCTGGGGGTGTAGGGACTAAGAAGATCACCAATGTAAGATGGTGCCTGTCCATGTAGGGCCCTATAGACCAGAACCAGGATCTTGAAATGAACCCTGAAGTTGACTGGCAGCCAGTGAAGCTGGAGGAGAAGCGGGGTGATGTGGGTGTGTTTGGAGGACTTGGTCAGAAGCCGAGCACAGGTGTTCTGAACCACCTGTAGACGGTTCAGGGAGGTTCTGCTCAGACACGTGAAAAGAGAGTTACAGTAGTCTAAGCGTGAGGAGATGAAGGTGTGGAGAACATTCTCAAGTTCAGAGCGGGACAGAATGGGACTCAGCTTAGCAACGTTCCTGAGATGGAAGAAGGAAGAGCGAACAAGAGAACTGACATGAGAATCCAGGGTGAGAGCTGGGTCAAAGGTCACACCAAGATTCCTGACAGAAGGTTTGGTGTGAGAAGCAAGCTGACCAAGAGAGTCTCTGACTTTGGGAACCAGCTTGTCTGGGGCACAGATGAGGATCTCAGTCTTATCTTCATTCAGCTGAAGAAAGCTCCCACCATCCAGGTTTTGATAGAGTCTAAGCAGGTGTGTAACAGCTGCAGCTTAGACATCTCATGGGGCTTAAAGGAGATGTACAGTTGGATGTCATCTGCATAAAGATGGTAGGAGATTCCTTTGAAGGAGCTCAGGATGTGCTGAAGAGGAAGCAGATAGAGGAGGAAGAGCAGAGGCCCCAGCACAGAACCTTGTGGGACACCATGGGTAAGAGAGGTGGTAAGAGAGCTTGGTGGTATTTTAAACTAGCCAGAGAAGGCGGAGCTACAGCCACATGTAATGTGTGCATACTGAGCATTCATGCATGGGAAGGACACAGCTGCATGACTGGCTGCCTTCAAGGCAGACTACTTTCACATTCAGCTTTTTCCTTTGGTCTCCATTAATTCCCAGTTCACATCGAACTTGGACAAAAATGCGGAGCCAGCCGACAGAGAAATATACACTAATAAACAGAGAAAATGCCGTGTGGTAGCTACAGGTGTTATGCAGGGAAAAGCTAGCCCGCCTGCCTGCCCCGTCATGGCAACGTGCATCGCTAAATACAGCTGTAGGGAGTAAACAACTGGAAATAAGAGCAACGCTGCTCCTTGTCAATACATTCATAATATGAACAGGTTTTTTATCGGTGTACTTCCTAAACAAGTTGATGTTTTCTTTTTATTTTAATGCTTTCCTGCAAAGTGTCGGATCAGGACTCGGTATAGACAGATAGAATCAAATGACTCGTAATCGAATCGGTAGCAAAGGTTACGATCAGAACTTCCCTAGTTTCGGCTCCTTTCTGTCGCCTTCGTCGGAGCACCCACAGGCGTGTCTGAGAACTCTTCTGTCGCAGTAGGCATGTTTCCACCACCAAAACATCCCGGCATGCGCGTGTCTCCGCTTCACCGGGTCGGCCGAACGGGCCACTTACCAGGGCATTTTCAGGAACTTTCAGAGTCCCAAAATGGGGGTAGGAACTTGGAAAGTAACCTGGTGAGGTTTTCTGGGCACGTCCAACCAGGAGGAGGCCTAAAAGAAGACCTAGGACACGTTGGAGGAACTACCTAGCCAGGGAACACCTTGGGATGTCCCTGGAAGAGCTGGTCCAAGTGGCTGGAGAGAGGAAAGTCTGTGAGTCTCGACTTAGGCTGCTGCCCCGGCGACCCGACTCCGGATAAGTGCAAGAAAATGGATGGATTGACACCATCGACATTAGTATATGGACAATGGGTTTCCATAGGCTCCAATAACAAGTTTTTCTGCTAAAATGGGAGGTGGCCACCACCGCCATTTTGACCGTGTCACAGGTTCCGTCAAGCCCAGACAATCCCACAAAAGGGAAGAGAGGTGGAGCTGAGGGTGGGGCTGTAAGGCTGGGATCAACTGACGACACCCGGTCGAACTAGCTACAAGCTAACTTGAAGCTAACCCAAAGCTAACGCGGAGGTGGGAGCTAAGCTAACGGAGGTAGCAACCCAGCTACAACCGGAGTTAACTGTGCACAACACCAGAGCTTCTGAGTCAGAGATACGCCGGGCTGACCGCTGGGTAAAACCGGGTGGAACACAGAGGTCTCCCAAAAGCTGCTGAAAGCCGGCAGCCCGCGCAGAAGACAGAAGCCGCGATCAGACAGAGATGCGCCGAGCTGCGGGGAGGGGAGAACTGGGTGGAAAACATCGGTCTTCCGAGAGCTCCACAAGCCGATAGTGGGAACCCAGCTCCACCAACATGTTATATTTCAACCCATTTTCTAAAGTGCAGCATTATGTTAAATGCACTGGGGTTTTACCCTATTACATTTAAATTTCATGGTTAAACAGTACATGTTAAAATCTAAGCTCAGCTCGGCAGTGACCTAAAATACATAAATATAATTTTACTTACCGAAAAAAATGAAGTGGAGACTCCTTGGACGCTCTATTAGTGCAATTAATGCCACAGCAAGTCATTTTGTCCAACAATTGCACAAATAATATCCAAACAAGAATACACACACACAGAGACTCAAAATCCCAGAGCAGTTTCCAGGCCAGACCGAGGCTCTACTGAGGCCTTTCCACGGAGCTAGCTCTGTGGTCACGTGGGTCTGATGCTCATTA